GAGAACATGTTCAACCTCGCACATCGTAAGTAAAACATAAATTACAACCATCAAATACCACTTTTTACCCATCAAACTGGTAATGGGAAGAAAAATATTTGATAGGGCTGGAGATTTACCTCAGTGGTTCTGCCTCCTGCCTCACAAGCAAAAGGCCTTGAGTTTAATTCCAGGTACCAAAAAAAAAATTTTTGATTAAACTGTACATTAGCAAGAAGCAATGGGCATGTATGTTCAGTATTTGTATCCTTTTTTGCACTGTGCTTTTTTTACTTAATGACTTTTTTAGAAATCATATCATCTCAGCATATAATGAGTTTCTTTGGTTGGGTATTTGTTTGTTTGTTTTTGCAGTACTAGAAATCAAACCCAGGCCCTCAAATATACTAGACAAGCACTCTACTATGAGCTACACCCTTCAGCCTTATTGTTTTTAAACTGGCAACATAGAATCTTATTATATATATATATATTATAAATATACCATCATTAATTCTCTAATACCAAACACTATGATCTTTTCAATATTTTCCTGTTACAAACAACACTAAAATTAACATTTTTGTCAATATGCTATTGCTCACATGACTATATCTACAGAATAAATTCCAACAGGTGAAACTGTTAGATTGAACAGTTTGAATTTGTAATTTTGACAATTTAACCAAATTGCTTTAGATTAAAAGTTCTCCATCTTTCCTTCCCTATCTGGAATTCAATATTTATCATTTCCATGTGTATGTGGTTTTATGTTTACTACATAAATACAATCCTAAGGAATAAGTAGTACAATTTTGAATGTTTTTAAATCATAAGTGGTACTATACTGTATTAATTACCTACAATATCCATAGTTTGCCTACTGCTGTTTTCTTTTCCATATGAATTTTAGGATTAGCTTGTTGAATTCCATGACAAATCTGTTGGAATTTGAAGTGAAATTATATTGGATTTATAGATTAATTTGGAATATTGACATCTTACATAACTGATTCTTCGAGTTCATGGCTATGGTACATTTCTATTCACGTGGGCCTTCTTTTTTAATGAAAGTTTGGATTTTATTTTATTTTTTTAATAAATTTTATTTTTTA